ACACACACACACACACACACACACACACACACACACACACACACACACACACACACACACACACACGGTTAAGACTATTTAAAAATCTGATCACACTTTATACTAAGGTTCTTTTAATAAGAGGTTGATTAGACTGTAGCTCTTTGAAACAGGAACTGTGTTTGTAGTGCACATAGTATTGCTAGCCCTGGTCCATGATTGGTGTTCCTAGGTGCTATCACACCACAAAAAATATATTAATATTTATATCATTAACATATTTATATTAGGTTATAGATGGTAATAAGGATATCAGTAGAAGATGTTCTCTATAGCTACAAGCCATGATATAAGCAACCTGTTGAACTGTTGGAATCTATAACAATGGATTAGCAATTTATTAAATCATCAATTAATCATGTATTAACACTTTATAAAAGTATTTATAAATGGAAACTCAGTATAAAGTGTGACCAAAAAACATCATTAAGTAAATTTAAGGTTGCAGGTACATATCGGACAGTGGGGGGGGGGGCGCGAGTGTGTGTGTGTGTATGTATATATACCTAAAGTACATTATAGTTAAAACAAACAAACAAACAAACAAACAAACAAGAAACACAGGAAATTCAAACTTAAGGTTAAACTTAAAAGAAACGTTAACATCTGAATGTGCTACCTTAACTCTGTCCCATTCAGAAGCCAGCCCACCAGCTTTTCTTCCCTGCCTGGAGAGTATTTGATAGGTGCACTGAATTGGTTCCTGCTTTTTCTGCTAGGATATACTTCAAAATATTATCGGTGTACCAAATCAGAGGTACAGTTTTTCTGAAACTTAGTATAACTGCCATTTACCTACTTTTTTTTGGAGCTCCTGAATATTTGTTTCCCAGTTTTTATCTTCTTGTGAAATTTGTCTGAAAGAAAAGGACGCATGCCCTTTAGTTATGAAATTAGAGTTCTGCCACAATCTTAATATAGTATTGGAATACGTCCTCTATTACAACTAGCTCCTCTCACACAGGGGCGTCCCTAGCTGTTCTGGGGCCCTACGCAGCCCCCCCCAGAGGGGTGCATGAGGGGCCCCGGGCCTCTGCGGGGAAGGGGGCCTCTGTGGGGGAGGAGCAGGGAGGCTGGCCCCAGGCCTCCGTTGGGGGGGGGAAGCTGGCTTGTGGGGTAGAGGGGAACAACCCCCCAGCACTCACTGGCAGCACAGCCGGGGCCGGGTTGCTGCACTCCCACCACCGGTGAGTGCAGGCCCGGCCCTGCCGCACTCCTCAGGGGACTGGGGGTGGGGCTGGGCAGGGGCAGGAAGAGGCGGGGCGGAGGCCCTGGGGAAGAGCCGGAACAGGGGCTGGAGCAGCACGCAACTGCTCAGGATACCAGGAAATTTGGTGCTCCAAATTTCCTGGTGCCTTACGCAGCTGCATGCTTTGTGTATGGGTAAGGATGGCCTTGCTCTCACATTTAGACCATCCTCTTACTTATATAAGCAATGCACTCTAAGTATGAAACCATGGCCTTATTACAACCAATAGCAAAACTCCTATTAACTTCAATGGGACAAGGATTTCACTTTAAAAACCCAACCCTACAGCACATAGACCCTATCCTTATGAAAAGTCCCACTGACTTCAAAAGAACTCTGCAACATTTTAGGTCTGAACTAGCAAACTTCATTGCAGGACTGAGGCCAAAGACCGTAGTTAGTTCCTGCACCAGTTCTGGAAGTTGACATGTGCCATTTTGAGATAAAACAATGGAGATGTGCCAGCAAATTAAAGAAGTATGGATTGGATGAATGGACTACAGGGTGGATACTAAGATGGCTAGATTATTGGGCACAATGGGTAGTGATCAACGGCTCGATGTCTAGTTGGCAGCCAGTATCAAGGGGAATGCCCCGGGGATCGGTCCTGGGGCCAGTTTTGTTCAACATCTTTATTAATGATCTGGATGATGGGATGAATTGCACCCTCAGCAAGTTTGCAGAGGACATTAAGCTGTGGGGAGAGGTAGATATGCTGGAGGGTAGGGAATAGGGTCCATAGTGACCTAGACAAATTGGAGTATTGGGCCAAAATAAATCTGATGAGGTTCAACAGGGACAACTGCAGAGTCCTGCACTTAGGAAGGAAGAATGCCATGCACCGCTACAGGCCGGGGACCGACTGACTAAGCTGGAGTTCTGCAGAAAAGGACCTGGGGATCATAGTGGACAAGAAGCTGGATATGAGTCAGCAGTGTGCCCTTGTTTGCCAAGAAGGCAAACAGCATATTGGGCTGTATTAGTAGGAGCATTGCCAGCAGATCAAGGGAAATGATTATTCCCCTCTATTTGGCACAGCTGTGGCCACGCCTGGAGTATTGCGTCCAGTTTTGGTCCCCTCTGCCCCCACAGAAGGGAGGTGGACAAATTGGAGAGAGTCCAGCGGAGGGCAATGATTAGGGCGCTAGGGCACATGACTTATGAGGAGAGGCTGAGGGAACTGGGCTTATTTAGTCTGCAGAAGAGAAGAGTGAGGGGGGATTTGATAGCAGCCTTCAACTACCTGAAGTGGGGTTCCAAAGAGGATGGAGCTAGGCTGTTCTCAGTGGTGGCAGATGACAGAACAAGGGGCAATGGTCTCAAGTTGCAGTGGGGGAGGTCTAGGTTAGATATTAGGAAACACTATTTCACTAGGAGGGTGGTGAAGCACTGGAATGGGTTACCTAGGGAGGTGGTGGAATCTCCTTCCTTAGAGGTTTTTAAGGTCAGGCTTGACAAAGCCCTGGCTGGGATGATTTAGTTGGGATTGGTCCTGCTTTCAGCAGGGGATTGGACTAGATGACCTTCTGAGGTCTCTTCCAACCCTAATATTCTATTATTCTAGTGTGTGTGTGTGTGTGTGTGTGTGTGTGTGTACACACACACACACACACACACACACACACA